TGTACCTGTCTGTTCCCTGTTGGAGTACTGTTATTTTGTATACTGACAGATGATTGTATTCATTACTTCTAGGAGTTTATCTTTCTCTCTCTCTCTCTCTCTGACTTCTTTGGGAATTTTTATGTATGTAGTCCTGTCATATGCAAACTGAGAACATTTCATTTATTTTTCCCTATTCAAATGTCTTATTTTTTAGTGTGTTGTCAGATTGCATGGGCTAGAACTTCCAGTACTACATTGAAAAGGAGTGGAGAAGGTGGGCAGCCTTGTCTTGTTCCAGTTATTAGTGCAAAAAGCTTTAAACTTTTCTCCATTCATTAAGAAGTTGGCTATGGGTTTTTCTTAGATGTTTTTTATTGTGTTGAGCAATGTTCCTTCTATGTCAATTTTACCGAGTCTTAACCATAAAGTGATGTATTTTACCAAACACTTTGTCTGCATCAATTGATGTGATCATATTTTTTTGTCTTTCTTTCTGTTAATGTAGTGTATTATACTTATGGTCTGTGTATGTTTAAGCATCCTTGCATCCTTGGAATAAAGCCTACCTGATCATGGTATATAATCTTTTTTAATGTGTCATTGGATACAGTTTGCTTGTATCTTCTTGAGAATTTCTGTGTTCATATTCATTAGAAATATTCGTTTGTAGATTTCTTTGTGAGATCCTTATCTGTTTTGGGTTTGAGCATGAAGGAGTCTTTATAAATGAACATAGGAGGGTTCCTTTCTTTTGGATATTTAGAAATAGTTTGAGTAGAATGGGGGTTAGCTCTTCTTTCAAAGTTTTATAGATTTCAAGAATGAAACCATCAGGATATGGGCTTTTCTTTCTTGGGAGGTTATTTATTGCTGAATTAATTTCATCACTTGTTATTGGTTTATTTAGGCTTTCTGTTCTTCTGGATTTAGTCTTGGTAGTTTATGTGTGTCCAGAAATTTGTCTATCTCATTCATGTTCTTTTGCTTCTTGGCATATAGTTGTTCATAATATTCTATAATGAGTTTTTAAAAATTAAAAATTATCTGTTGATAATATGTATGGTAATATCTTCAACTGGACTAATACATGGTGTATTTATGCTGTGAGAAAAAAATTAATTAAATAATCAAAATTAGCATTTGAGAAATCCAAACCACAGTTTATTAGTCTTGATTTTACCAGTCTGAGCACAAATCACTGTCTGACCAATGTTCTAGCTTTTATTTATAAATCCAATTACTGCTTCATTATTTCATGAAGGAAAACAGAGTTTATCTCATATGAGCTCCTAGATAGTGACTATCCAAACAAAACTAAGCTTCTATCAAAAAGGAAACCTATGGTCAAGGAAGTGGAAAATGAAAGATTACTTTATAGATATACATGTTTTCACCTGACATTAAATCAACTCCTAATTTCTAAATTATCCAGCTTCATCCATTTCTGAAAAAAAGTCAATTTATAAACAACACTGGCTACCAGGCCATAGTTGAGAAGAGAAATCATACAGCACAGTATGCCATCCATAACCTTGTGAATCTTCCTAATCACAATTGGCTGTTGGTTAACATAGGAGACTTTGTCTACAGGAGCCCTCATGATCAAGTCTTGTTCATCAATGAAGAGATGATAAAATGGCCTGTTAGTTTCAAAGAGGTATGTTGTCATTTCAATATTAAATTTTAAGTATATGAGCAAAGTCCTGAGTTGAAATTGTGTAAATTTTAAGTATATGAGCAAAGTCCTGAGATGAAATTGTGTGATTACTTTAACTCAGCTTTAAATTCACCTTTTACATCTTGACTTTGTACTACATGCTTTTCCTATCACATCCTCTAAATTTTACAGACCAATCTGGTTTATGTAAGCTTCTGTTTTTTAATTTAGCTATATATATTTAAACAGCAGTCCAACGAGTAACAAGCTATATTTATTTAAACAGCAGTCCAATGACTAAAATTAAGTTAAAGTAGTCAAACATTACTTAATGAGAAGAATATACCCTGAAAAAAAAAGTTTATGTAATTTTGTTATTGTGAAAATACCCTATCTTGTATTTACAAAAACCTAGATGGTATTTCCTACTACTCGCTCTCTTTCTCTAACTAGAATATATACATATATGTGTGTGTGTGTGTGTGTGTGTGTGTGTGTGTGTGTGTATGTGTGTGTGTATTTTCTATATGTCCTGAAGTCCTCTACCATTTGTAGACAAAGCCCATATTATACTTTGGTATACTGTAAACACAAATCAATGATGTATTAAGATAGAATATGTCTTTACTTTTCTAAAGATACTATTCATATTTTCTTTTGCATTTGCATCCTATTCTGTCTTCAATCTTTTTGGCAGCATCCATCTAAAAAAATCAACCATAATGTCAGACATTAGATTAGGCAGGTGATTTTTATAACGAGTATGCTTTCAACAGCTGTGTTGTTAACACATTAAAACAATGCTTCAGCTGGGTCAGAATTACAGAAATGGATTAATCACAATTTAGAGATCATAACACACTTTTATCCTTTATTTGCTGGCCTGAAATTTTTAAATTCATGCCTCTTGATAGCATGTCTACATATCAAATAATTTGATTTTTTTTTTATTTTAGAAACTAAAATTTTCTACCCAACTAGATAGGGAGTCACAGTATAAATATTTCAGAAATATAATTTCTCAGAATCTTTATCATGTATAATAGTGCATTCAAATCTTTTGACGAAGTGGTTAAATAGGAGAATAACCCAAGGGATATTTCTAGTTGTATATAAAATTAAGTATGTACTTTGGTAATATTTAGTAAATAGTTTATAACTAATGAGGAAAGCATTAGCTTTAGGAAATAACCTATTAAGGAATAATTTGTATTAGAAGTCTAGATAATATCAACATGTGGGTGTCAGGAGGATAAATAGTGATGAATCTCGATTAAAGGTCAAAGTTTTCCCTGAGGTAGAGGAATGTAGACATCCTGTTAATGTAGTTGATAATGTACCTAATGACAACAAATGATGATCTTTCTTGCTCAGACTCCAGAGTCTTTGTGTAGCCAGAGCTGTGATCCTGGATTCAAGAAAATTCTCCAAGAGGGAAGACCTGTTTGCTGCTTTATTTGTGTTGCTTGCACAGAGAGAGACATTTCAAATCAAACAGGTAACATATAAGTAATCAATGATAACATCATCCCCTATTTCTTAATTAAAAAGAAACCAGTGATATTGGAAATGGCATATAGAGCACAAATGTTCTCAATTCATGTGCTCACTCATTGTTTTCCAATAAATATATTTATTTAATAAAATTATTATTATGCTATTACGTATCAGTTCTTCTATGGCTGTGTTCAACCTAGTAGTCTCAACTGTGGAACTGATTCCAATGGACACCTTTCTTGGCAATTCCATGATATGTAAAACAGTGTCAATCTTAGATCTTATAATGGACAATGCTAAAGTATACCCTTAAAACAAAATATGTGCAATCATCAAGAATACCTGTGGGCGGGTGCCTAAAAGGCTTGAATCTGATCATTTTATATCCAGATGGAAAGCACAAAACAATTATAGTAAACTTATTCTAAAAATTTGTTACAACTTTTTAAATCATGCTCAAAACACTACGACATTATTAACACAAAAAATTAGTGTTTTAAATCATGCTCAAAACACTACGACATTAACACAAAAAATTAACTAGTATCAAAACACTACACTTTGAAATATTACAGTAGATGAAAGGAAAAAATATTAAAGTGAATTTTCTTTTCTTGTCTCTTCTTCTTTAGAGAAATTTTTGTTATAGGGCACATGCATTCCCCAGAGTGACAGAGAGACAGAGAGATGGAAAGCAAAGAAACACCTCCCGGCGGAATGGCCATGCTACAATTCATTCTCCTCTCAAGATTTTGGGCATACGCATATGCAAATGCACCTAGTGTGAGTTTCAAGTTGTTTGGTCTAGAACTCAAGCCATAGTCAGTCATGTCAGTGCCCAGTGATGTGTTATGTCATCTGCTGCTCCCTAAAAGCCAATTCTAAACATTCTGATACATTTTACAATTTGACACCTCAAAAAATAGTGATATACAAGATATAAATTCAAGAGATAATATATAAAAATAAAATGTAGTGGGACTAGCAGTTAACGTAATGGCTATGTCGCTGGATTCCCATGTAGTCAACTGTGGTTTGAGTCCCGGACCCGGTTGCTTTACCTCACACCAGTTGCGTGTATGTGTGTGCCCAAGATCCCTAGAGGAGAATGAAGGAGAAGGCATTCATTGGGGCATGGCCAACCCTCCCCCCCAGAGGGAGATTTCTCGCTTTCTGTCTCTCTGTCTCTCTCTGTCTTTCTGGCAAACACAAGCACCCTATAGCAAAACTTCTCCAAAATATGCTAAATAAATACATAAAATGTAGTATTTCCAAATAGTAAATCTGGAAAGTTTTATTCAATCAGGCTTTCATTTCCTAAGATATAAAAAAGCGTTATAATTTGAATTATTCCACAAGTGTTATATGATTTCAGTCATCAGAAAAATAAGCCAAGAAAAAAATAATTGCATCTCTTATGAGGATTTAAACACTATATAGGTGTGTAAAACAGCAAGTAAAAATAGAGGAATATAGGATATTATACACAGAACCAAACAGACATGTTTGCATATGCTAAGCCAGACCTTGAGCCAGGAACATCTACTGAATCCATGAAAAGCAATTAGTATTTAGTATTTTAATAACACTACTGCTATTTATTATTTGAGAATTTTATATCAGTATTATCTAAAAAAAAATAAGAACTGTAAGGAAAAACTAAACTACCATGAGTGTTTAAGTAAAATATAATTAAAATGGGCATCTCAATTAATTTTTGTAGGTTCCATGACTGCTTTAATACAGAAATTGAATATGATACAAAAAATGGAAAGACCCTCGTTCTTGGATAAGAATTAATATCATCAAAGTATTTGTTCCACCCAAATAATTTACAAATTCAATGTGGAGCCTATTAAATTACTGGTGACATTTTTCACAGGAATAGGAAAAAAATCATAAACTTTATCTGGAACCATAAAAATCCTGGTATCATCAAGGAAATACTTTGCAAAGAATAAAGTAGGAGGGGACCAACAGTTAGCGTAATGGCTATGTAGCTGGACTCCCATGTGGTCAACCGCGGTTCGAGTCCCAGACCGTCAGCTTAAACTCATGCTGGGCACATGTGCATGTGTGCCCAGGATCCCAAGAGGAGAATGGAGGAGAGGGGATTGTGGTGTGGCCATCCGCCTGTGGGTGATTTCTCGCTTTCTGTCTCTCTGTCTCTCTCTGTCTTTCTGGTGAGTGCACACGCCCTATAGCGAAAACCTCTCCCACAAAAAAGAAAAATAAATAAATAAAGTAGGAGCATTCTCACTACCTGACCTCAAAATATATTATAAAGCTGCAATAATCAAGACAGCATGTTGCTGGCACAAAATAGACACATTAAGCCATGAGACAAAATAGAGAATTCTGAAATAAACCCTGAAATATACAATCAATTGATTTTTTTCAGAGAGATTTTTTGGCATAGGGCATGTGGACTTTCTGGAGAGAACGAGAGACAAAAAGTAAGAAATCATCCTGCCCCCAGGGGGGATAGCCATGCTACAATCCCTTTTCCTCCGTTCTCTCAGGAACTTGGGCACATATGCACAGGCACCTGCTGTCAGTTTTAAGCTGTTGGGTCTGGAACTTGAATCATAGTTGATGCATGGAGTTCAGCAACATAAACATTACATCATCTGCTGGTCCCAACAATCAATTGACATTTGACCAAGGGGATAGACAATCCAGTGGAGAAAAGAAAATTCAGTGAATGGTTCTGAGAAAAATGGACATCCAGTCAATGCGTAAAAATGAAACTGGGCCCCTGTTTCTCACCATTAATAAAAGTCAACACAAATGAAATAAATATCAAAATGCAAAGCCAAAAGTTATAAAAGTTTTGGGAACCAGCAGTTGGCGTAATGGCTGTCGCTGGACTCCCACGTAGTCGACCGTGGTTCGCGTCCCAGACCCGGTGGCTTAGAACTCACGCCAGGAACGTGTGCGTGTGTGCCCAAGATCCCGAGAGGAGAATGGAGGAGAAGGGATTGCGGCGTGACCATGTCCCCTGGGGGGTGATTTCTCGCTTTCTGTCTCTATGTCTCTCTCTCTCTGTCTGGCGAGCGCACACGCCCTATAGTGAAAATCTCTCAAAAAAAAAAAAAGTTATAAAAGTTCTGTAGAAAACAAAGGAAACACCTGAAGACACTAGCGTATGCAAAGATTTTTAAAATAAGACACCAAAAGCAATGGCATCAATTTCAGAAATGGAAAAGGGGAATCACATCAAGCTAAAAAACTTCTGCACAAAAAAGAAAACAAAAAATAGAGTGAAGAGGCAATATACAAAATGAGAGAAAATATTAGCAAACTGTATTTTATGTAAAGAGTTGATAACAAGTAGATAGGGAACTTGAGCAGCTCGCCCTAAAAAAAAATTCAATTGGAAATTGGGCAAATGATATAAGAAGACAGTTCTCTAAGAAAGACATACAAATGGCCAAAACTACATAAAAAATTTCACTATCTCTAATTATAAGGAAAATGCAAATAAAAACCAAAACGTGATATCATTTAACACCAGCGAGCGTGTCTTTCACAAAAAAAAAAAAAAAAAAAAAAGTAGAGAATAACAAATGCTGACAAGGCTTTGCTGAAAAGGGAACCTTCCTACACCATGTGTGGGAATGTAAATGAATACAGTCAATGTGAAAAACAATATAGGCATTTCTAAAAGAAAATAAATAAATTCCAATTCTTGGTATTTACCCAAAGGACAGGAAAATTCTAGGTTGGAAATACATTTGCATATCCATGTTTATTGCAACATTAATCACAATTGTTTAGACCTAAGTGCCCATAAACAGACGTCTGGGTTGAAAAAAATATAGAACGTATAAACTACGGAATACTTCTCAGCTATAAAGAACAGTATGATTTTTAAAATTTACTTATTTTATTTTTTAAATTTTTATTATCATCATAATCTTTATATTACATTGGATTACATATAACTTTACAGTGTATTACATTGCTTTCTCAAAAGGGAATGCCATGCATGTCACTCAATATAGAGACATTAATCTCCCCGCTTCAACATTCAATAAGTTTTCGATGTTTTTCCCAATCATTATTATTATTATAGTTATTTTTTAAAAGTCAATCACTATTTCTTTTTGCTTGTAAAAACACTTTACCCATCATGAAATACTTCTTAGACCAATCCAGTTGAGAATACTATACATGTCATCATCAACAGGTAATAAGCCATATCTGTTTCTCACTACCGTCCTGCCTCTCTATTGTTCTCTTGCTATCTTTCTCTATCCTCTTCTCTTCACTTCCCCCATTCCACACTGTCCTATTCTCTTTAAGTACCTTCACTGCTTTTATGTCCTCCAATTTTTCGCTCTCTACCATAGAGTGTGGACAGTCAGTATATATTGAGTGGATACATACAATATCTTTCTTTCATAGCCTGGCTTACTTCACTCAGCAATAGATCCTCCATATCTGACCACTTTCAATCAAATTCTAGGGTCTTGTTATTTTTTATGGCTGAGTAGTATTCCATAGAGTATATATACCACACTTTTCCAATCCATTCATCAGTTTGTGGACATTTAGGTTGGTTCCATGTCTTGGCAATTGTGAATAATGCTGCAAAAAACATTGATGTGCAAGCACTT